TTTTGGGGTCTTTTCTTACTGGAAACTAGCAGTGAAGGTTACGAATAGCAATCAAGGTGGCTATGGGGCACTGCAACATCATAATTGCAAGGTGGATGCCAAATGCCCAGTTCACAATTACATGAATGCAGGGATCCTGCAATGCCTGCAACTATAAGGACCGGTCCTAAGTATCACTAGTTCAGTGTCATCATAACTTTATAAATGATTGCTGAACAAACAGTTGTTAAGTGAGGACCACCTATATAGATGATACTGATTTAGATGATAACTGTAGCCCACTTGGATGAAGTTCAGTTATATTTGGATCATTTTTTCTCATAGTTTCATAGCTGACTTCCATTTACACTACAAACCCAATTTCATTTGGAAGGTATTCCATTGCTGCATTGTTAAAGGTGCTTAGGCCTCCCAGGGCTTAATTTGGGATTAACTGTCATTTTTCACATAAAGTCTTTTTAGTTAATGCACTGCAAAATGGGTCTTTACTACAGTTTTAATATACTTTTTTCTGTTGGAAATCAAACTGCTTCTTGGTTTAGTTTTACTTTAGCAAGAGAAAGAACAAATAAAATGTATGGCATAATCATTTGAATATTATTGCTTTTCTAACTACAGGTACTCTTTGACTTACGACCACAATTGAACCCAAAATTTTCATTGCTAAGTGAGACAGTTGTTAAGTGAGTTTTTATTTTCTTGGCCACAGTTGTTAAGTGAATCACTGCAGTTGATAAGTTAGTTACACAATTGTTAAGTGAATCTAGCTTCCCCATTGACTTTGCTTGTTAGAAGGTTGCAAAAGGTGGTTGCATGACCCCAGGATACAGCAACCACCATAAATATGAGTTGATTGCCAAGTGTTTCAATTTTGATCACATGACCATGGGGATGCAGCAGTAGTCGGAAATGTAAAAAAACTGTATAAGACATTTTTTTCAGTGTCATTGTAACTTTGAACGATCACTAAACAAACTATTGTAAGTTGAGAACTACCTATGCAGAATCTGCTTTATACCTAGATAATTATCTATCCCTTATTCATCACTGGTCTAAAGTAAGAGTTGGACAAACTCTTGGTGGCTATACTTCCTTCTTCCTGAATTGGTTTTCATCATATGCTAGAATCGTGAGGCTGTAAAGGTAGTTAAAAAAGACTCAATGCCTTGTCATATATTTTCTTTCTTTAATAAGGAAGTTACCCACCTTCTTCAAGAACTGTTTTGCTTTTCATAATTTCATATTTTAAGTTTAGTTACCTTAAAAATAAAGATTTTCTCTTTCTCCAACTCCTATGTTCTGTTTTCAAGTATTACCTTTGTCCCATCAGGGTTTTCTTCTTCTTTGTATTCCATTTCTAGCAATCTGATAATAAATAAAATTAAAACTTCCACCTTTTATAGCTTCCAACCCCATAGCTCAGTATAGACTTTTAATTAACCTATGTTTTTACTCATTTTAAGTTACCCTATATGCCTATGCCTTCCAGCTGCTTACAGCTTCAACAGTTACAGCATTTCAGCCTTTCATGGTTGAAAGTTGCTATATGTCTTTTCCTACTTAAATTTGCTGTAGGCACATTTTTTCAAGTTAACTTGACTGACCAAGTTACTATTCCTCCATATGTTCCCAGATTTTACTCTTGTTATTTCATTTTTTTTTATGGTCGCCATCAGTTGTTTCACTTAGCTTTAAATTTTCTAAAGGTCAAATACTAAAAATGAATGAATACTGTATGATTTTAAAAGCAGTATCTGAAATTGTGTTTTTGTTATAGTTTTATATATTTTTATCTCCTTAAATAGAAAACTGGTTGTATTTTTTTTAAAAAAAATAAGATTATAACCTGAATTTTTTTCTCAGCTCATTTGATCGTAAAGTTAGTAATTTCAATAAGCTTTAGGCATTGGGTTGTTGAAATGTCGCTTCCTCTGGTATTATATTTGCTGTGGGGAAAATTAAGCAATGTTGTTTATGTTAAATTTTCTTGTTTGTTTTTATCCTTATTTTATGCATGTGCATTTTTAAACTGAATTACTGATATTGAATATACATGGAACTCAGAGCAGTTAATGACAGGGGTTATAGGCTACTTCAGTCAGTAGATAAACAATTAAAAAGCCGAAATGTGCATAGGAAGCAGCAGTGTGTTTGCTGTAGGCAATTGCAATGTACTGCTAATAGTTCACCCTTTTGGTAACCATTTGCATGCTGTATTCCATGCAAGCTAAAATATCTGAAGAATTGTCAAAAGTGGTTCAAAATGAATTAATCACATGCCCAAATATCACATTTACTTATGTTTTATTAAAGTAGAGGAAGAAGGAGTAGTAAAATATATAAAATTTAAAGCTGGACGAAACACCATTAAATATAAAGGTAAATGTTTTAGCTTCTAAGATTTGCCTGTTTTGTGCAGCTTTTACAATATTTTTCTTTTCTTTTTTTTCTTACCCAAGGAATGGGGAAAACAGAGGAAATCATGCTTGCCTTCTGGAAATATCATGTGCTACTGGATAAATAGGAACATTGCATTGACAAAGTATTAAATAAAAGGGTAATCTACTATGGACTTTAATTCAGCAGAGTTGACGATAGTGTTCTGCACATTTTGCAGTAAGGAACACCTGTAGGACATTTTACTTGATGGAAGCCATAGAAAACACAAATGGCACTTCAGTCATCTTTTTTCTTTAAAAAAAAATCTCTTGGAGGAAAACCATAACTGATTAAAGGGTTAGAGGTTTCAACAAGGGTATGAAAGCATATGGCAGATGGGATGGATTAGGACTTTTAATAATACAGTAATCTAATCACTGCTGCCAAGCATTATAGAAAGCTCCACCTCTGGCTGGGTTTTATCCAGAAAGAAATGTGCAAGAATAAAATGCTGTTGGTATGAAGAGTTAATAAGTGCTATCTCTGAAGTTGTTCCCTAAAAATGACTGTATCTGAAGAACATTTCAAAAATTCATCTTTTGGTCATATGGTTTCTTGGTTTATAGTTCCATTAGACTTCTGAACCCTTCCCTCTTTCTTACTATCTTCAGATATATCAAAGAATCTTGTCAAGGGTTGAGAATATACTGTTTATGAAGTAAAAATTGAAGTCCTTTCTTGAGCCCAGAATTTGTTAGGTCACCTACACGCCCAGAAGATTCTGCTACTTCTATAACAACTTGGATGGAATGTGCATCTGGAAAAGAAGAGTTCGGGCAACACGGTGCTTTCCCAGAAAGAGGCCCAGATTAGCTAATGGGGGAGAGGGGAAGAGGTGCAGAATAGTTCAAAATCTAAAATCTGTCCCAATCCATGCAGCACATATCAAAGAGTTTGCATACTTTATTGAGACACTGCAAGCTCCTAATATTATTCCCCAGGTCCCACTCAAATGAAACGCAAAGTCCCACTGAGTCCAAGTATCAGTAGGACACAGATTGTGCAACATCCTAACTTGCCACTTACTTCATCTGGTCCTTACATCCCATCATCTGGAACACCTACCCCCAGAACAAAAACAAGATTTGGGGGAAATCTAGTAAACAGTTTTTCCATTGTGACACAAAATGTATCAAATCTACCTGGCATTTAGGAAAACTGAAAATAGAGAAGCTACGAGAACTTTTGGTATTTAGAAGGAAGATTACTTAATAATAAATGTAATGTCAATGAGAGTAAGCATTTTAATTAAACTTCTGTTATTTTGTTTACTGAATAGTTTATTGCTGCTTTAGGTTGTAAATTGTCCTGAGTACTCTAGCAGTATGACAGTAGAGAAATATCGTAGTAAAATAGACTTCTACCTTAGTATATATTGTACGAAATGTTTCCTGCAGCCATTTATTGAAATAATTTAATTTGCCAAAGTTTGTTAATTAAGAGAGGAGGACTCATGCAATTAAAATGTTTTTATTTATATTATATACATATATATTATATATTATATATCCACTATTGGATATTCTTTCTGGCTCACATGCTATCTTGTATTATGGCCAGTACCCTGGTAATTATCATGAAACCTTTCAATTTAAAAATCCAGTATGTGTTCTGAGTGAAATTTCAACAATGATAATAATATGCACTAACTGTATTTACCATGAATGTTATAGAGTAGTTAAAAAAATGCACTACATTATAGGCTACCAAAAATAAATTAAAAGTATGCATTAAAGCAGGGGTGTCAAACTCGTGACGTCATGTGATGTCGCACAACATATCAGGCCGGTTTTGCCATTGCTGGCAATGGAGTGGGCACGGCTTCAGTATGATGAAACCGGCCCACGGGCCGGCAGTTTGACACCCCTGCATTAAAGTGTACTTTTAATCACTAATGTGATCTTGTTCTTGAATTTTGCATTCTACACAATAGTTTAGTGCAGCCGAAACTGTTATTTTAATGATGCTCCAGACTTTCTTTAAAAGGTAAAAAAAACCCCACCAATTAGGGTAAAAGTAGTCTCCATCTTCAAACTGTATGCAAAAGAAAATAATGATCAGTATGTTGCACACTGCAATCGTATTACTGGAAATGCAAATTTAATTAGTTTTGCATAAAAATAGTAAATAGCAAGCCCAGAAACAATACTTCAAAGTTCATGTCCTCCAGATAAAGTGTGTCCCAACATTGCAAAGCAGGCTGGAACAAATGATCTATTTTATAATAAGTTGCATTTACTTCCAAAATAATTTAATTCACAACGAGATAGTGACTTGTGGAATAGATCAATAAATGAGGAAATTTGGGAGACATTACAATGTTATTATCTGGTTTTACAATGAAATTTTAGCAGCAGAAAGAAATCCTATAAATAGAGTAAAAGTATGCAGAAAAGAAATTTAAACAGAAAATATTAGCTCAAAAGTCTGAACCAAGAATTTATGATTTCCAGAACTATAAAGTTTTCTTAAGTTAGGATTAATTATCTTTTTAAAAAGCCTCATAGTTTTAGCAAAGAATTAGCAAGTATAATTCTTTTTTCTCTTTTTCTCTTTTGCAGAGGAAGAATTTGCCTCTTCTTTTGAGCATTGGTTTATTGATCTTCTGGGGAGCTTTATTGCTGGGTCTTCGCTTCTACTGGATGGGGAACAAACCTCCCAGCTTTTCCAACTCTGACAACCCAGCAGCTGACTCAGATAATTTTTTAACACGAGTTCTGACCTTTTTTTATTTGCCAACCAAAAACCTTTGGCTACTGTTGTGCCCAGACACTCTTAGCTTTGATTGGTCCATGGATGCTGTGCCTCTTCTCAAAACAATCAATGACTGGAGGAACCTACACACAGTGGCCTTTTATGCTGGATTCCTCCTCCTTACTTATACCAGTTTGAGAAATTCCAGCATAGGACGAGAAGGCAATGGGAAAAGTATAGCAAATGGCAGACTTAATGGCAATGGTCACAACTACCTATCTGAACTGGAATATAGAGAATATAAAGAGTTGACGTCCAGTTTTGCATCTAAAGAAGAAAATGGCATTAACAAAGGCTTACCACAAAAACCACACATTCCCTCAACGGAGAATATTGTGGTTTTGTCACTGTCTTTATTAATTGTTCCTTTTATTCCTGCCACAAACTTGTTTTTTTATGTAGGCTTTGTGATAGCAGAGCGTGTGTTGTATATACCTAGTATGGGCTTCTGCCTCTTGATCACTGTGGGCACAAGAGCCCTTTATGTCAAAGTCCAAAAGCGCTTTCTGAAGAACTTGATTTTTTTGGCTACTGCTACATTAATTTTTTTTTACGGACTGAAGACATTTGTCAGGAATGGGGATTGGCAGAATGAAGAGATGCTGTATAAATCAGGGATTAAAGTAAATCCAGCAAAAGGTAACATTTTCCATTGGGGTTGTTTGCAACAAATGGATCACTTTATTATGTATTTTTAATCTATCTATACTAGTTCTTTTTGGGAAATGCATAAATCCTATATTTACAATCATAAATAATTAAAGCACAGAAATAAAAATGTACTGTGCTGAGATACAATTTCATATTAATTGCTTATTCAGAGGATTCATTGAATGTAGGGTGAAAACAAGTTGAAAACTACAGAAATGTTTTACTAATATGTTTTATGTTTCTGAATCTTTGTATTACAATATCTCATGTAAGAATACTTCTTACGGAAACAAAAAAAAACAGGTAGTTTGAAGTATTTACTGGTTAGGTTTTAAATTTATGAATCACTTTCTATTCATGATCTGAATTTTCTTACCTTCTTGGAATAGCATAATTTCCCCCCAGTACTGCTATTTGTCTAACACAGATGAAGAAACATTCAAATATTCTCAGTTTCCACAAAGAAATGTCTGTATGTTTTGTATTGTTAAAATATTTGGAAAAATAGGGCCTAATATTTAAACCATAAGGAAAATAGAATATATGTGAACTACACATTTGCCTTTGTTTCATTGGTATGAGGCAAGAGCCTCTGTGACTGGAAAACCAAGAGTAGATTCTGGCAAATTTAATTGGCACACTGCTAAATTTTCAGAAATTTAATGAATTTCAGCAAACAAAAACTTAAACAGAAAAATTGGTGTTCAACTTACTGTTTCTGCTGAAAATAATCTACTGTAAGAAATAACTTGTAAGATGCATAAAATCTCTCTTCCTCCATCAAAAGATTTTATGCTGGAAATTGGATATAGTCTGTTAATGAACTATCCATTTTTAAGAAAACATTTAAGAGACTAAAGATTTTTTGCTACAGTGCTACAGTAAAATGATTTATTATATTTGTTAAGGTTTCTAAGATTTCTTGAACTGTAGATGGATGCAAAAAGGGAAATAGAAAAAGAGAAGAGTGCACATTTACATGAATCATCTTTATCCAATTTATATATTTTCCTATAATATGCCATGGCGCAGCTCATTCCATTTAATCTATTTGTCCAACCCTGGGAGTTTGGAATCTCAGGAGAAAAGGCCTAGGAAATAAGTTCTAGCTTTGAATTACAGAATATTTTCTTGAGTGAGTGAGTGAGTGAGTGAGTGAGTGAGTGAGTGAGTGAGTGAATGCTTCCAAGGCTCAGGAATGAAGACAGAATCAAATAACATTGTCTGCTTTCCATTTAATATTTGGAATCCTAATACGGTACCTATTGTTACTATTGTCTTTGTAGTTTATCTACTTTGTTTTATGTTTTGATACCTGCATTCTTTTTCCCCTAAAATATTGCTGATTGAAGGATAGCCAAATATTTGAACTTCTGCTTCCCATTCAGTGAAACCAGAAGCAGAGGATTGTTGAAAATGTCAGCCAAAATATCTGGAAGACGCTAGATAACTTTCGCCTGGTTTGGATATGTCTACCTTCCCCCCCATATTTTAATAAAATTTTATTTTCCCAAAAATAAAATACAAATATAGAATAAACTAATAAAAACTACTAAACAAGAATTGCAAACAAGACACAGAAAAGGGAGAAGGAAAAAAAAGAAAAAAGCATATATAACAAATATAAAATTAATAATAAATATATGGCCTCCACCCTAGCTGAATGCTAATACCTGTATCTCACACAAATCTAACAGGTTCCCTCCCTTGTATTGTGGATCTACAAATAGCTATACATTTTTCATCTATACTTGCTAAATTACTATTTTACATCACATTCTATTAACATATATCTCAAATATACAAATTATTATCTATCAATCAAATCGACTCAATACCCGTTCACTGTAAAATAACTATTAACTGTTAACCCCCCCTTCAAAAATAAAATACACACCTTTTAACCAGTTGCTCTTTAGCTTTGCCAATTCCACCAGCAGGTGTTGTCCGAGTTATATATTCTTATCAGAGAGATAGACAAAGTTCACCTAGAACAGTGATGGCGAACTTTTTAAAGACCGAGTGCCCCAAAACTGGCCCCGCCCCCGCTCCACCCCCTGCTCCGCCCCCACCCCATCCCCCACCCCGCCTGCCTGCAGGGCCACCAATCGCCTTCAGGGCCCGCCACAGATCGCCCAGGCAGCCTAGCAGCACCATGGCCACGCCCTCTGCCTGCGCCCCACAGCATCAACTGCACGATGGGGGATGAGGGCAGAGTCTTGTCTATGCTGCCTGACTGCCATATCCTTGGCTGCGCTGCTCTGTATGGGCCACGCTCGGGGGCAACTCTCCTCCAGGGGAGCTGCTGTGAGGGGGTCAGGGGAGGTGAGGCTGGGGCAATGGCACGTGTGCCCACACAGACGACTCCGAGTACCGTCTCTGGCATGTGTGCCATAGGTTTGCCACCACTGACCTAGAAGAATTAGCCTAGCCTAGCCTAGCCTAGCCTAGCCTAGCCTAGCCTAACCCAACATAACACAACACAACACAACATAACATAACATAACATAACCATAGTTGGAAGTTACCTTGGAGGTCTTCTAGTCCAACTCCCTGCCCAGGTAGAAAACCCTATACCATTTCAGACAAATGATTGTCCACTCCCTTCTTAAAAACTCCCAGTGTTGGAACATTCACAACTTCCAGAGGCAGGCTGTTCCACTGCTTAATTATTCTAACCATCAGAAAATTTCTTCTCAGTTCTAGGTTGCTTCTCTCCTTGATTAGTTTCCATCTATTTCTTTTTGTCCTGCCCTCAGTTGCTTTGGAGAACAGCTTGACTCCTTCTTCTTTGTGGCAACCCCTGAGATATTGGAACGCTGCTATCATGTCACCCCTAGTCCTTCTCTTCATTAAACTAGACATACCCAATACCAACAACCATTCATTATATGTTTTAGCCTCCAGTCCCCTGATCATCTTTGTTGCTCTTCTCTGCACTCTTTCTAGAGTCTCAACAACTTTTTTTACATTGTGGTGACCAAAACTGGATGCAGTATTCCAAGTGTAGCCTTACCAAAGCATTATAAAGTGGAATTAATACTTCATGTGATCTTGATTCTATCACTCTGTTAATGCAGGCTAGAACTGTGTTGGCTTTTTTGGCAGCTACAGCACACTGCTGGCTCATATTTAAGTGATTGTCCACTAGGACTCCAAGATCCCTCTCACAGTTACTACTATTAAGTGAGGTACCACCTAAACTGTACCTGTGCATTTGGTTTTTCTTGCATAAATGTAGAACCTTACTTTTTCACCATTGAATTTTATTTTGTTAGATAGCACCCACTGTTCAAGTCTGTCAAGATCCTTCTATATCTTAAGCTTATCTTCTGGAGTGTTGGCTATTCCTGCCAGCTTGGTGTCATTTGCAAATTTGATGAGTTCCCGATCTATCCCCTCATCCAAATCATTGATGAAGATGTTGAAAAGCACTGGGCCTACTTCCCTCCATATAGAGGCAGTTCCATTGAGGACTATACGTTGAGTGTAGTTAGTCAGCCAGTTACAAATCCATCACCATCTGGTGCTGATGCTGTCTAACCCACATGTTTCTAACTTATCTAATAGTAGGTTGTGGTCTACTTTATCAAATGCCTTACTGAAGTCCATTAATAGATTAAAAAAGGATCAAATATTTGAAGAACAAGTTATAACCAAGGAGATTAGCTGTGCTTGAGTACACCAACAGCTGACAAAAATTAATAATAGTAGCATGTAAAATAGTGATAAAGCTCTTTTAACCTGTACTGCAGCACCTAATTTAATAATAGTATGTTTATTCATGAGTTTAGTGAACTGATACTAATGAGCTGTTTAAAAGCATCTCTCTCAGGTTTGCTTATTGTCACTGAAAATCACCACAGATATACAGAGAAGAATATACTGAAACAACTACTGTCTTAAAGGGTTATGCTCATCGGTTGAGGACAAATGACAGTGAGGATTCAGATGGCTATCTCTATCTCTATATTCTTTTCCCATTTGATATTTTGTTTTGCTTTCAGAAGTGTGCCATATATTATTTATTTTTATTTACTTTATTAAATTTATTTGCCACCTGTTTTGCCACAATATGATTCTGTAAGGTTTGGATGTTATTACTTACTTTTTGAATTTGGGAAAATAGTAAATATGGCAACTTAAGGAAGCTCAGTGTCTCTGAAAGACTGATACTGTCAAGTATTTATTGCCAGCTTGCTGAAAGCTTAGTAAAATTACAGTCATATTACTAAAATGGTTTTCAGACTTATGAGGCAATTGACTTGTATATAGAAATTCTTGTAATTCTTTGAATAAACTGACCACTGAAAGATTGATCAAACCATAAGTGTGCTATTATTCATGAAAGCACTTTATGGACATTAGAAGAATTATTGGTTGTCAGAATTGAGTTAATATGAACATTTGTAATATTTGTTGATATGTATTTATATATGTGTGCGTATGTGTTATTCAATTTAGAAGTTCAACATGTAGAAACCATTTATTAATTTTTAGAGCATTTGTTTTGACAAGTTGATTTTGCAATTTACTAGCAGTAATCAGGATACTGGGTAGCAAACTGTGGGCAATGGTTATGACTAATAATAATGAAGTTAAAATGTATTTCTTATCTATTTTATTTTAATGATCCCATTTTAAAGAATGATATATTTTGAGAAACTAAAAAGAATATTAAAGAAATTTAAAAACATAGAAATATCCACGTAGAACAACCAGTCTTTGAAACAGTGTAACAGTGTTTATCAAATAATCTCAGCAGAGAAGCAGACCACATTTAATTTGATAGCACTATCACATGCAAAACAAGTTGACATTGCTGTCAATGAAGCAGTATGCGTAGTAACAAGATGCCTCAAACCCACACCAAAAACAAATATTCTTGAAGGCATGCAAGAAGAAAACTGAATTAGAAGATGGATGAGGGAATTTATGGAATAAGGAATAATCCCAGAAGAGAATATGGCTGAGGGATCTGATCTCCCCTACATTATTTGGAGGATATTGAATTGGTTGAAGGTGGGAGTGCCTAAGTGTAGGACCAATATGCTCAAGTGAGGCTTGCTGGCATTTAACAACATGCTCTGGGAACGTGGAGAGACACAGAGTTAAAAAGTAATTACTAATGTTTATGTCCATGTAGTTTACCCATTTTCTCCTCAGAATGGCCGACTTCTGAATATTAAGTTCTCAATTTAAAAGACTAATTTAGAAGACTAAATTAAATCAGCTAGTTAATTCAAATAAAATTAACAATTACTTAAGATTGTAACTTTAATTGGAAGTTGCATCCATTATATTTATTTTCTAATTTGTTACATTTTTATTGGTTTAATATTCCATATTCTCTCCTAGAATTTTATTTCTGTTCTATAAGCAAATGATTGAAAGAATAACTAAACGCAAATTATTATTAATTTTATTCACATTATACTATGCTCTTCAATAATTCTCATTTAAAAAAACCTTGGATTTCATACAGTGCAGTCATGTGACTATAAATTGTAATACAATATTCTAATAAAGATGGTTACTATAAAGTGCTTCACAGAGAATAGGTAAAGATGCTGGCCTGTTCATTAATGAAGAGATTGTGGACTTTGGTCTTTTTCAGTGGCCTTCATAAGTGTATATTTTGTCATATTATTGTAAACTCTAAATTCCTAATGAGATTAAACTATTACTGATATTGACAGTGTTATTGATGCCCACTCTAGCCAAACTATGACTTCTTTAGTAGTCATAATTCTTGTAAAGTAGATTCATTGATATATAATTTGATTTTTTTAATTATTTCAATCTAAAGGAGAAGTATTCTTCATTGATAAACTATGCTGACTGTAATTCAAATATAGTTATTACCCTTACTTTCTACCTAGTGTGTGAAAAACCCAAGTTTTGATGTGTGATGCTTCAGATCAAAATATGTAATTTGATTATTTTAAATTGTTTATGGTATATGTTTATAATATTAAATAGATGTACTTATGTATTAATATCTATTGCCCGCCATACCTTTAATGTTTGCCACTGCTGCTTTATGACTTAAGTAGCTGAGGTCCCTTTGAGTGTAGAAAGAGATTTTTGTCTTTGGATCTGCCTGTTTGGAGGAAAGATAAATTTCTTGCAGATACAAAATAGTTAGAACNGTTAGAACTGCAGGACAATGTTATAAACTTTATCAGAGCCACAAACCTGATAGCAAGTGTTTGGCTGACTAAACTGTGTATACTAACCTTGTAAATACAGCTGCAAATCCACCCATTGCTTGGATCCAGTGTGATAGGTCAGACAAGCCTGAAGCCTTCCTCATGCCCTGAATAGCAAAGCTGTATCAAAAACAGTTTTTGAAATTCTTCTACCTTTCAAATTCGTTTTGCTATAGAATTTGAGAACTTCTCATTACCCCACAAATCAAATGTTTCCTTTGGCCACATAGAACTAGTTGTAAGATCTTTGGATGCTATCCAAATTAAGTAATGCTAATTAAACTTAATTTTAGCATTATATACCCCTCAATGCAGGAGTCTTGGGAGATCATTCACTTAATATGTATAGAACAAGAAAAATCAGACTATGGGTAAGTTTTACCCATGAATACTTGTTACTCATCTTCATTGATAACTTTTTTTGTCATAGATATTGTCAATATTCTGTCTCTTAGGGTATAAAATTGAATCAGATGGATTTAATTAGATCTAATATTTGACTTACCAGAAGATGGATGGAAAACAAGGCTATTGCCAAAAGAGACATAAAATGTGAATTTTGATTTCACTGTAAATAAGACTTGCATTTGTTAGACAACATATCAGTAGAATTATTTTGTAATGTCTTCTTATTTTTTTGCAGTCAAGTATTTATTAAAAATTCCTGGATTCTTGTGTGTCTGTTTGATTAGTTCAGTCCAGCTTGCTGGGAGGAAACCTGGCACATTTTTTGATTCATATGAAAGTTATATTTCATTGAAGAAATTATGCATTAAAAATAGTTTTTAGGAACTGATTGTGTGTATGCTCTGAACTTGCATATAACGTTAAAATTACCTCTGTCTTGTTTCAGCTAAAAAATGAAAAAAATGGGGAGAAGGATTTCTTATTTTGATCATATTAAGATTTTTCTATTGTTTCCATTTTCACCTCCATTATGATTAGGACCTTTGTTTACATGGATTTTAGGAAGAGGCAATTCCCAACAACTGTGTACTTTAAATTAGTTCACAAAAGTAGAACAATAAAATAACAGCGATGTATGTCCCTTAGAATATAAAACAAAAATATTTTTTGTTCTGTTGCCAAAATCAGTGGTATCACTTGCAAAATCTGCAAGTGTGTTAGATTCGCAACCAAGCAACAGCACTATACATAGTACACACATAGTTAATTGCATATTTTATTAGCAACTTAACTTTGTCTGTAGAAATTAGCACTAGAAGAGACTGTCAAGTACAGATAGTCCTTGACTCTCAACATTCATTTAGTGACTATTCGAAGTTACAACAGCACTGAAAAAAATGACTTATGATTGCTTTTCACACTTAGACTGTTGCAGCATCCCCACATGATCACAATTCGGGGGTTTGACACCTGGCATGTATTTATGACAGTTGCACTGCTGAGGTCATCTGATCACAATTTGCAACCTTCCCAGCTGGCTTCTGACAAGCAGAGTCACTGGGGAGAAGCCAGATTCACTTAAGAACTTTTACTAACTTAACAACTGCAATGATTCATTTTCCAATGGCAAGAAAGGTCACAAAATGGGCCATAATTCACTTAACAATTCTTTTGTTTAGCAACGGAAATTTCAGGCTCCATTGTGGTTGTAAGTTGAGGACTACCTATGACCTGTAATAACCAATTCATGTGTACCTATAATAACCATTACCTATACAAATAAAAAACAACAACAATGTACCTATGAAAAAGTTTCTCCTATATTTCAATGTAGAAATTGCAAGGAATTTGTGATGCTGAATATATAGAGAGAATATATACATTTTGGAATTAAAACAGTGTCTGTTGTTCAATATGCATATTGTTATTACTAGCCTAATGAAAATGAGGTGGGGTGAGGTCTTCAAACTGAGTCAGAGAAAAAGTTGCATAGGTTTTCTTGTCATAAGAACTCCTTATTCAGATACTAAATTGTGTATAATTGGATTGCAACACCTTCTCAATACTATTTTCTCCTCTTGACAGCATGGGGTAACCTTGGAAATGTTTTGAAGAGCCAGAGTAAGATTTCTGAAGCTGAAAGCGCCTATAGAAATGCCTTGTATTATCGCAGCAACATGGCTGATATGCTTTATAATTTGTAAGTATAGATGGCTTCCTTTTTTATATGTTTGTCTGTGAATAGGATCATTTATTAAGATTCAGGAAATGCAGATTATATTTAGCTATTTCTTTTCCTTTCATCTCTCCTCTTGCCTTCAGTTAGCTTTCATTAATCTTACTTCAAACTCCGACATAGACAGATTTCCTTCTGTTCTCCACATTTATCAGATCATCAGATATTTGATTCTGCTTTGCAGCGAAATAGCAGCTAATTTCCCAGAAGATCTAGTGGGGTGCAGTATATATGAATAGCCCTTTAGATTCATCCCAGCACCTTGCCACAGATCCAGCTGACTAGAACTTACCAGCAGGCCCCAAGGCACTACAGCAGTTGAGATTGCTATTTTATCAACTTCAATTGGTAAATCAATGGCAGCTTTTCTTTGTAACAAGGATTTGGAAACCAATTTCCACGCTATGGCAGTCTATTTAGACAGCTGCACTGTGATGTACCTAGAAGCTTGCTTGAAAGTTACAGCTAATACTGATTTTCTGTAGACAAGATGCAGAAATTCTTTTGGGCTCACTTAAAAATGATTGCAAGCACAATTTAAAACATGGTTTGAGAAATATTTCTTCTCCCACAGTAATATCTACTCTTGGTTACTTTTTGTAACATACTTGGCAAATTGATTGGGAGCAGGCAGAATGATTACTTGTCCACCTCATTTTGTCCGCCCAGAAAAGGCTATTGTAGAGAGAAAGAGATGAAATATTCAATGGCATGCTTTGAACAATTGTTTCATTTTTGCTGAAAGACTCACCAGAGTCTCAACTGAAACTCCAAAGATGGGGAAAGATGTAAGGAGGTAACATTAGCAAACACTTTCCCTGTTATTTTGGATTTTTTTTTCTCTTGAATTTCAGAAGTGTTGAAACTCTGGGGAAGTTGATAGGCAGTTTTGGAGCATAATGCTTTCTGTGGGGTGGTATTAGGCCCTGTTTGGTTGCTTTGGACTGCTAGAAATATGGGGGAAAATATATCTGGGAGATATTTAACCATTTCTTTAGAGAAGAGGTGCAGCCTTCTGTCTTTAAGCCCTTCCAGAAAAAGATTTCCCTGGACCTAAACATGTTGGCTTGCTTTCAGCCTTTTTCTGGAAAGAATGAGAATTAATTGTGGAGTATCATAGATAATATGAATTATTTGAAACCTTGTTTGTCAAGATTCAAGATGTAAGCCACATTAATCACTTTATTAGATCATCTTTGTCAGGACCTAGGTGGGAGATGTTCAGCTATCCTGTATATTTTAGATCTCTTGACAGCATTTGATACAATTGATCATGATATCCTTTTGGACTGTCTGCAAGAAATAAGCATGAATCTACTGATCTGTAATTGGTTTAGACCTTCCTGAGTGAGTAGATTTGGTTGATAAAAGTGGTAGAACAGGAGTTGACCTCATGTTTTTCCTTGTAAGATATCACAGGAATTAACTATCTGGCTGCTGCTTTACAACATCTAAAAGAGACTGTTGGAAGTTACTTCCACACATCTATTGACTTGGGGAATGATATCAATGTGCTGATTATATTTAGTTATAGTCTACCCAAAGCCAATTGGATATGTAAGGGATTTCTTGACTTGCTATTTAGAGGATATAGGGAGCTGAATGGGATGAAATAAGCTGAAAATAACTTCTTATAGTTGCTGTTTGTCCAAAGCCTTCTATATAACTACCATATCTTTTTTGACTGTGTATGGGATGACACAAGAGTAGTGTAGTGATTTGTGGATTTTCCAAGATTTTCAGTGATTGATGATTTTCAGGTGGAGGCCTTGGCTAAAGATTTTTTTTGCCACCTTTGTCTCGTATGCCCATTGCCGCTTTATTTAAAGCAGGAGTTGACAATTCACACCCCCATCACCATAAGGTTAAAAACTACTGCAATTTAATTTACATGGGATGAATGTAACTTTGACTACTTAGGACCTGACATTTTACAAAATGTAATAGCCTACTGTTGGATTATACAGGGACACAATGCATATTCCAGATGTTTCTTTAACTTTCAGTAGATGTTGGGTACAATTCAAAGTGCTGTAGAGTAGGGGTCACTAACCTCTGGACTGTGGCCCTTTAGAACCGGGCCACGGAAATAGGAGTTGGACAAGCATGTGCATTCATCCCCAATTGCGCAAGCAGCAGGCAAGCACACTTCATTTGCGTGAATATGGAACTGTGTGCGCTTGCCCATCGCTCGCACGGAACCATGTCCTCCCCCCAGCAAAACAGGAAAGATTGAGGAACTCTGCTATAGAGCATTATCAGTGATGTATAGTATTATTTTCAAACTATTATAATTGGTGTATGTTTTTTCTGATGCTTCTGCATTTAAACAAGATAATATTTTATTTAATATTTACTTGCTATTGAATATACATCTCAACTTTTTGTTTATTCCAGCAATCAAAGCATTTGCAGTAGAACAGATTAAGAAGCAACTATACGAATGTATATGAAAAAGAAAACCATAATTTCAGTGACTGTTATAAACAAATCACAGTTTATCTTTAGCTACAGTTAAAGGGCTTTAAAAAGATAGAAGAACATACCACTTTCCTTTCTTCCTATTTGTTGGAGCCTTGGTTCCTTCTATCCTCTATTTTCATTAGTAATCATGTTTACATAATATTGCAGACATGTAGACTAAATGGATTTTCAACAACTATGGTGGCACAATGATTAGAATGCAGTATTGCAGGCAAACTCTGTCCACAGCCTGGAGTTCGATCCTTATGGGGCTCAAGGTTGACTCAGTCTTCCATCTTCCCAAGGTCACTAAAAAGAGGATCAAGATTGTTGGGGTCAATATGCTGGCTCTGTAAACTGCTTAAAGGGGGCTGTAAAATACGGTGGAGCGGTATGTAAATCTATGTGCTATTGCTATTTCCTTCTATCCTCTGATTGAATGTTTTAGGGACTGAACCATATAACTGAAATTTTCATGTTAAATGTCATTTGTAAATAGCCTCATTCCTGTTCTCTCTTCATTTAGAGAGGCAGTAACTGGGAAGAGGTTGTTTCTTGAATCATTGTTAAGCTTCAGAAAGAGGTCTATGATTAAATATTAAAACCCAGGAGATTGATAAGTGATCAGTAGAGGAGTATAGGTTTATTGGAAGTCTTCCTAAAATTGATTTATATTTTCTCATGTCTTCCGCAGTAACTTTGGCTTACAAGGAGAAAAAATAAAGATATCAAATAGCTGTAGCAAAGGCATTCAGAATAGTCCTTCTAAGCTGTTTAAATCCAAGGATCTGGAAGCAGTTCAAAAGGTCAAGTTAAAGAAATATAAATCTTCACCCATTTCAATCTCAGATTTGCAAATTATGAACTTCAGGCAATATATATTCATCTTTATTTTTCTACATAAAGATGGACATTCAAAATGCAGTTGCAGTTAATAATTAGATTTTTAGTTTTTGAATTATATCATTGCATATCTTCTGTCTAATACAAATTTTGGATGGCTTCACCCAGTATAAATTCCCCTTCCCAAGCCTTTTTGTGAATATACATGCATGAGAATTTTAATTAGTTGAATTGTTTGTACAATAAATTAAATGTAACTTCTGTCACTATTGCAGTATGTTGATTGGAACACTGTGGCATACTATTTGTCAAAAATTGCATTTTCTTCCTTTTTTCCTATATTAAATCAATGTTATTAGGCAATCCATATTTTAACTTTGTTTTTTTAAACAAACTTTTATATGGAAGCTTGGATTTAATCTTATATTTTTACTTTAGATCAATTATTGAGTAATATTGATATTTTTATCATTTCCTGTGTTAAAGAAGAAATATAATTTTCTTTTGCCACCCACTGGCAATAATAGCAACATCTACTGACATCTCAATTTGGAGCAGCAACAATTTCAGCTTCAGTACACCTAAATTATTAAAGTGATTACCAAATCTTATGAGATTAAAATAACACAATTAGTTTTTATAATGCTTGTTGCAAAAAAAAAATCAATTCCATATGTAAATTGTGAAGACTGAATGGAATACAGAGCTGGAGATTCTCATTAAAAAAAAAAGAATAGGAGACTGGTTTCATGTCTGCATCAAAAATTTAAATAGATCTTATGCTATAGCTTATTCAATAAAAATAATAGTTATAATCCATCACATTTGTTTAGAAAAGAAATGAATATTCATAGTACTGTTGGAGATTCAGAGTAAGAACTGCATATTTTTGCAATGTCATATAATTTTGATGGTCTAGGAAGTCATACATATATTAATTGGGATAGTTTTTAATATTTTTCTAGCCAACTTTTTTGATTTACATACCAACTATTTGGAATTCCACAGCTGGACAGTAGAAATTCTCTGTTTCATTCTTACTGCAAGGAGACTTATTATTCCACACTGTAAAGATAAATTTACAATTTCAATTACTTAATGGACTGAAGACCTGACGTTGGTTGAAATCTCTGAACAACGTGCTTATTGATGTAGACTTTGTAGAAATAATTATAATCAGATATGGTCATTGCTTTATTAAAATGTTTGTGTAAAACTCTACATGCACACACACCAAAGGAATAATATTTTATCTATTTATTATAGATGCCCAGAAAGATTTTAAACTGTTGTGTGAACTTTATATCTACATACAAAGACTGCTGTATTCATACCTAAATAATCTTTGTTTCAAATTTCACACAACCTGAAAACTGTGATAGTCAAATTCACAACAAGTAAGCTGTAATTCAGTGTTTTATGGTAGTCATGTAGCAAATATCAGTTCATGGTTCAAATGAAATCAGAAGCTATATTTAATTAAATTATCTGCTTTCTAGGCCATAAAAATTGTCTTCCTGCAGATACAAAAGGATTGTGATAATAAGACAAGATATAATCATTCAAGCATGATTTCTGTAGGAGAGGTTATATTTGCAGCTATCCCAACAGGAGTTGAATTCATGTACATGAGAGAAGATAATTAAAGAGATTGACAG